TGATGAGTTGATGATTAAATAGTCTAGTTCCACCCCAAAATTCTTATGAATGAATATAAGGTCATAATTAAAATTACTGTAGTTGTTGAAAAATGCATGCGCATGCAAGCTAAACAACAGAAAGGAACGTTGCTTTTTTTTCCCCAATGGTAATACAATTAAAAATTACACTCTATAATCTGTGCACTATTTTTTCTTGTCTAAACTTGGTGCAAAAATCTGTGCTTTATGTTTGCCAAAAAAAGTACCCGTACTACTTGCAGCAAAAAAATGTTGCAGTTGTGTATAAAGTTCCAGCTTGGGCAAGAATGAACACGGTTGAACTATTTAAAGCAGGGGTGTTAAACTCATTTTTGTCGCGGGCCAGATTTTAATTAGAGTTTCCCTTGGAGGGCTATTATCATTGAAACCATATAAAGAAGTCAAGAATAACAGTTTATTTACCTATTGTTTAAGTTACTGTAATGAGGAGTTTGGTAACAAGAAAATGCTTACAGTATCACTCTTATTAATTACAAATGAGAATTTGAAATTTTGGTCGAGATTTTCGCAAGCATCATGAAAGTTGACATCTTTGATTTGCTTTCACGGGCCACATAAAATGGCGTGGCGCGCCAGATCTGGCCCCTGGGCCTTGGGTTTGACACGTGATTTAAAGAAAAAAAAAATGCAGTGCGTTGCCATGTTACTTCAAAATCATAGCTTCACTAATAAGATCAGAAAACCTTTATTTGTCTCACAATGGAGAAATTCCCAATTTACAGCAGCAAAATTATGAAAGGGAGGAAGTAGAACAAAAAGTATATAAATAAATGTAAATATAAACTATAAATTAAGCAATTAAAATGGGTGAGTGGGGGTGAGTCCAGGTTTTCAGGTCCATCTATTCAATAATACGCGGATTGGGAAGTATACACGTTCCAGTTACCATGACAACCCAATTTAATGTCATTTACAATCAACAGGATGTGTTCATATGAATTCAAAATGCATTCAAAAAGGAAACATACTCCCGTCATTTACAGGAAATATTGGAACAGCCAGCAAACCTCTCATGTTGCGTTAGCAGTAGCCTCTTCACTGACTTACTCCTTAAAATGCCTTTTTCTTTCTTTTTTTCTTTTTAAATCATCCCAAAGACAACAAATGGCCTGTTAGTTTACATATTTGAGTGAAGCCAGTTTGCGGACATGCAGTCAGACTGTCAATTTGTGTCTTTAGAACAATTTGCGGCTGCGACCAAAGTCGCTGAATTAGCGATGTTATCGCGGGTGTGATGAGCTTAACCTCAACCTCCGCTTCTGCGCCTTGAACGCGCCTCTAATTACCAGAGAGGCAAGGCCAATCCGAGGCTGAGGTCACTCCGCAGAGGCTGGGAAAGACACTCATTAGCCAGCTTTTTCCCGGCAAAAACATGTTTCCTGAGAACTCGCGGCAAAAAGAAACTACCCGATCAACATCTCGCTATCCCGTAAAATTTGCCACTTGGCAGCGAAAAATTGCACCGGGTTTTTGTTTGTTTGCTTTGTTTTTTGCAATCCTTTCAATTAGTTGCAGAGTGCGTTGAAGGAGCTGCTGAAACCCATCGTTGAGCTCATTCAAATTTAAAGTCTGCTAACGGAATCGGAGCTGGCTGCATGTTGATCAGTGGTGCCCAACCACCGGGTCGTGGACCACCTTGGACCGGGCCACCGCGGACCGCACAGATTAAGGGAAAAATAAATAAATAAATTAAAGAGAAAAGGAAAAAAAAAACTTTTATTTTATTAATTTATTTTTACATCCAAACATGTGATGCACATATTGCCAAGATGCTAATTGTCGCAGTCACGTAATGCAAATATTAAGAGAGAGAGAGAGAGAGAGAGAGAGAAAAAAACCAGCACATTATTCCCATATTTAAAATACAATTAAATCAAGTTCAACTAAATTACCTTGAATTCTAATCAAATACCTCCTGACACAACATGACATGTACGAGAGGCTTTTTTTTTTTTTCCCAAATATTCGTGTCTTCGAAACTACAAATATGTCTCAACGTTATGTGTGAGGGTTGATCATATATGGTACCGCCGGTTGTGGAATTGATTGCATCATTACGCCACAGGCAACCGAATAAGTGGATCTCCCGCCGTCCTACCGATGAAGACATAATTGGATGTATTTTATATGCTGCGTTGACGTAATGTCTCCAAGTGGTTGGAACACTTAATACACCTTTGTTCATGCCAAAGATAACAATGTCTCTGTGAAGACAACCTCTCTCTGAATGACACCAATGGGTGGAGCTAGACACACACTGCAGCCTTTCGATTGGTCAACAGATAATTGGCTCTTTTATGTAACAATGGAAAACATGACACGCAGGACAACTTGTAGTCCATCCCAGTGGACAAAAGGCAGACGAGTCCCCTGACTGGTTGACAGTCAATTGCAGGACACACGGAGACAGATACATTCATAGTCACATCTGTGGTCACTTAGCGCACTCACAGAATTTTTTTTGCGGCCAATTCATGAAATGTATTTCGATTGCACATAAAATTTCCATCCATTTGAATTACTTAAATTTGAACACAAACAGGCCAATAAACTTTCCGTGCTGTACATTTGCCAGTCAAGTGTAAATTAGCCAATCAGCGAGTATAAAAAAAAAAAAAAAGATCGATCACGGATCCGATCACACGATGGACCAATCTATCCAACGTATACAACTTGCTGAGAAACGTTAGATTATTAACGATGGCAGCATAGAAAGGCCCTGAGGTGGACAAGATTGCATTTGTTGCAATGTCTTATTCTTGCAGATCCGATCAGTGACGTACGTCATTGCTCGATCACTGATCGCTAATTTTGCATAAAATTAGGTAAAGTCTAAACGTAAATAAAACAAAGAGGTATGTCAAAATATTTAACATATCCAATGTTTTTTGAAGCATTAATGACATTCGTCCTGCATTGCACATATGTGATGTCGCAGCAAAAATTAACTCTGAACAAATGCAGCTTGGCATGCTGGGAAAGAAAGTCCTTCTGGTTGTCATTTTCAAAGAGTGTTAACAAACAGGATGAATAAAGGGCTGGTTGCTATTGGAAATATTCCTGTAAAGCTCATGCAAAGCAATTTCATACATTTTAACTAAATGGGTCTTGGTAAATGCAGTCTCCGACGTTTAAATGATATTCAGACGTTTTAACCATTTCATTAGTTTTGGAATTCACAGTTTAATGCTAATTTTAAGAAATCCAAATAGAAAAAAAAACGAATTCTAAAATTGTGTGATTTAGATCAAATTAAATAGCTGAAAATAGTTGAAAATAAACTTGGCCATCATCCATTTTGGCAATCACATCCACATCGACAGCGGGAAGGTCAGCAGTGAGGCCTTGTAAGGAATTGCCAAACAACCCAGGGCTGTCGCCCCTTGGTCAAAAATGAATAAATGAGCTACTGAAAGCAAGCAGGCGGTTCTTCTTCACAAGAAGCAACACGTCTCCCAGGCCGAGCGTGTCATCCTCACCGATGATGTGATGGCGTGAAATAGTGTTGCAACAAAGGCATGTCTGTGGCTACGAGCCTGATCCTTGCACAGTGATCACCTGCAGACAGGTTCGGCGCTGATTTTCGCCAGCTGCGTCTTACAGAGGGAACGGGGGCCATCTTGGATGTTCAATTCTTTTCAACACTGTGTCACAGATTATCTCAAAGATGTCCAAACATGAGGCCTGTGTTGTCTCAGGGCCTGCGCGGATTAGGCTTGTCTTGTTCGAGTCCAAAAAGTGACTGAATGAAGGTCTTGTAGTTTCGTGTTGCAACACAAGCAATTGTGTTGTGTTTATATACCACAAATGCTGCTTACGGAAACATTTGTCGAAAAGGGGACGTGTAATGGTAAATTTACCAATGGCGTTTTGTGTTGCGGCCCAAAATTTGAACGACTAAAACAAATCCCGAAACTAACACGGAAAAAAACCCAAAACAGTTCATATTTGGAAAAACGCACAAGTCTGATTTCATGGCAAGGATGCAGCAACATATGAGAAGTTCATTTAATATTCGAGAAGGTATGTTTTTTAGATGATGTTTTAACCAAATAAGATCTTTGATTTCTGCATCGAGTGCTGCAAATCGACTGAAGCGCGAATATAACTATTCCGAGTGTAGCTACATGAAGGCGGTGCTCATCATGAAATTCGTGTTCATTTCTTTTTTTGTTTCTCAATCGGCTAGCAACCAGTCCAGGGTGTACCCCTCCTGGAGCCCAAAGCTAGCTGGAATAGACTCCAGCTCACTTGTGACCAAAATGAGGGCAAAAATGGATTGAGTGGCAATTCCAATGCGTTATTAGCATTCATGGAGCTAAAAAGCACTGTGACCGGTGGGTATTTGCAGTTCTGTGACAATATCATAACAGTTGTACATAATGTCCTGAAAAAACAAACAAAAACAAAAAAACAAACTCCAACGGCAAATGATGTGATCATAGAATGTATTTCTATTTATTTATTTATTTTTGCTTCATACGTCCAAATAAATTGTGAACAAAAGAGAACAAAACATTTGTGTGTCTATTTCATCCTCTGTTCTGTTGCAGGTGTTTTGGTTGCCTTTTTAAAATGTTGATTTATATGGTTGTAAAAACTGTTAAATTAAGTTAAAGAAGTGATTTCATGTTATGATATGTTTATGATTCAGCTGCACAAAACAGTTGAGCTGCAATCGCTGTGAGCACTCAGCAACAGTGATGCCATTTTCAGACAACAAAAAGTGGCAAAATGGCCACCCCCCGAGAAAGCTAAAAACGGCTAGATTTTGCTGCTTAACTCAAATTCCACAAACGCAATATGAATCAGAATGCAGTGTTGCGACAAATGAAGGTGCATAGAACATATTATTGTAAAGAACATTTTGGGGTTCACTTCCCCCCTTTAAGCAACTGCACCTGTTAAGTTTCTTGACAGTCACAAATGGCTTTTTTTTTTTTTTTTTGCTTCCGCAGCCTGTAACTGCAACCTGCACGCCCGTCGCTGCCGCTTCAACATGGAGCTGTACAAGCTGTCGGGGAGGAAGAGTGGAGGCGTGTGCCTTAACTGCCGCCACAACACGGCTGGACGCCATTGCCACTACTGCAAGGAGGGCTACTACCGGGACCTGTCCAAACCCATCTCGCACAGGAAAGCCTGCAAGGGTACACCGTCCCACTTTATTGCCAAAACACAATTTCTCAGAAGGCGTATATTCACTCTGCACTCGACAGCAGTTTTCCCCCAACTATTCTTTAAACGAGGAAGAAAAAAAAAATCTGAAAGCACGCCATAACACAAAAAAAGTCACAAAAATGGATATGGAGATTAATTTTTCTCCCTGCCACGATCAATCACCTTGCATAGATAGCCGAACAAAGATACACTGGTGTCGTTAGATACAAGTGTCCTGACTCACCTAGCCACAAGTGGCAGCTTGTGGTTAGGTTAGCTATAATTAGTAATAATTCTTCAAAAATGAGGAGTCAAGCTGCCACTATCAGCTGAAGGTTACGGTCAAACATAAAACCAAGGGAAGTAAAACGAGATTTAGAATAAGAGAATTAGATCTTTTGTATTTAAAGCGACCACATAATCTCTGTAACATAAACGTTAGCATACAGTGGCACACTCCAAAGACATAGGGCCTATGTCTTTGGAGTGTCAATGAATACGTGGCAATGAATTTAAGTAACGGATATCTGAACACAAATGGTGCAGCAACACATGTAGGCAAACCATATCACCATACTCACAGGCACACGGATTATTCTTTATTCTCTGTGAATGACTCACATGACTGACGCAATGAGAAGCTCGAGAGAGGAGCTGAACCTACAGTCCCGTATATCCGTATGCTGTCTTAGACTGCACTCTGATGGCAGCAGCACGGTGGCCATTCAATTGATACAAAAAAATGAGGAATTATTTTTATTAATATTTCTTTATGTAATTACAATATGTTCATAGGAAGTAAAATATCACTGAGTGCTATATTTCTCATTCAAAAACACATTTTGTTCCTGTTGGGTTTTTTTGGGGGGCGTGGGGGCAAATCATCAAAAGATGATTTGACATGCAAGTGAGTTTCAAGCATGATCAAGCAGCGAATTCAACTTACTTTCAAAGGCAAGTAACTGGTAATTTGAAATAAATTACATTTTGGAAGTAATTTGCCCAACACTGCTCTTTTGATCGAAATAAGTCATTGCGGAATTGTAGGCTGTTTTACTTTATTACACGTTACTTATTGTGACCTTGTATTGCGATCTTACACTCGACAAATACATCAGACACAGTATTTTTGGAAAAAAACTAAAACCAATACTAAAACTAATAGAACTAAACCAAAATGAAGCATTAAAAAAAACAAATACAAACTAACCAACTTGCTCGCAAAACTGCTTCGACCTAAATATTTTATTTTATTTTTTTAAAGGAAAAACTAAATCAAAACAAAAATGAAAACTAACTATATTGGAAAATTCCAAATTATGACAACCTGGCTCTGTACCACATGTCTGACGGACCGGTGCCGGTCCGCGATCGGCCGTTTGGGGACCACTGCTCTGGAGTTGTAGATTAATGACAGGAAATGGGGGAGGAAGCGCGGCGTCGCAACATTCCTGAGCCTTGTCTCGCCCCCATCTTCCTCTGTCAGCGGAGATGAGTTGGAGGTCTGCGGGGATGGCGGAGCGAGGGCGGTGGAGTGGGTGTTCCCTCTTTTGACACTGAGTTATTTGGCTTAATTCGAGGGAAGGTGAGGGGATGACAGGACAACCAAAGCAAACAGAGGCGAGGTGTGAAGTGATCGGCATAGCAAGCGGGAGGTCAGTCGTGAGGGTGAAAGATAGGAAGGAATGGAAGGCGGCGGAGGTGGCGTGAACACGCCCCCGCGCAGGTGCGCTCGCCACCTAATGCCTTCTAACCCTCAGCCAAGCTAATAAAGGTCAAAGTGAGTTTTCGCACCTTTCCTGTAGCTGCAGGTAAAAATAACAGCAGCATAATCCCTGCGCAAACAAGCCAAGCGCTCCAAAAACTGAGGCTCACGCACCCGAGGGACAGGCCCGCGTGGAAATATCAGCCGCGCACCGACAGCTTAAGCCCACGTTTTCCCATATCACTCGACAGGAAGCGAGTAAATAAAACAGGTCGACAGTGACAGACCTCAGACAGGCCTCTGTGGAAAGCTTGGCGTGGAAGTTCAGACAAGAGCCGCCGTTGACGCACGGAGATGTTTTGTGTTCTTTTGTGCTTCGATGTCAATTCCACACAACTATTCCGTGGCGTTGCGCAGTGTTCGGAATTTCTGCGAATAGTTTTCATGAGTTGCCATAGTTTGGCTGCGAGGTGATGGGTTCTATATTCGTTGACAGTGATGTGTTGACACGAGCCTCCAAGCACTTGTTTGGGAATTTGGTTCTTCTCTCTTCATCATGCTGGGCGTTTTGTTATCCCAAGGGTGTTGTGTTTTACACGGCCCCAGGGCACCGGAGAATTTGATGGCTGAAAGTAGACTAAAATTTAGGTCAACTGAAATCATGTCGAGATATTCGCGAAGAGAGCGTAAAGCGATTTGAATAAAATAAATAAATAAATCACAGTAAGTACTGTGGTGTAAAATTTCTGTTATTTTAAACAGACCTTAGAAAAACGACATCGAAATCGTCTAAACTAAAATTAAGATGGTCTCGCTTTCCATCCCTTGTTGGCCAAGTTGTCAACTTCTCAAGTGTATTTGAATTCCTGTTGAGAAGTATGAATCGAAAAAAGAGCATACATTTAAAATTACCCACAAAGGCTCATGAATTAAATTAACGGCCAAAGACAAAAAAAGAAAAAGAACATTCTCGCTTTACTTACACCGATTATTTGTTAGTTTTGCAAATATATGTAGTTTTTTTTGCAGGGGGGTGGGGGGGTAAGCATTTTCATTTATATTTATTTTATTAACACAAAATGTTCTTTTAATTTTAGTTTTATTTTGTTGGTTTTTGTTAACTAATATAGCTAGATAGATAGATAGATAGATAGATAGATAGATAGATAGATAGATAGATAGATAGATAGATAGATAGATAGATAGATAGATAGATAGATAGATAGATAGATAGATAGATAGATAGATAGATAGATAGATAGATAGATAGATAGATAGATAGATAGATAGATAGATAGATAGATAGATAGATAGATAGATAGATAGATAGATAGATAGATAGATAGATAGATATTTGTATTCTTTTGCATCAGTTTGACAGCAACGACCAATAGAAGTCGAGTACATGCAGTCCATTCTAGGGTGGCAAAGCTGAAAACTTTCAATAGTAATAAATGGGACTGTTTAGAAATAAAGTGGATTTTTGGAAGCAAAATCACATGTAGCAAAGATGCATAAAACAATCAGAGTTCATGTAAATTCAGAAAAAAAAGTACTTTTACATTCGGCGAGCGACTTTGATTTTTATGAATTCATTATTGCTTGCCTGATCGATATGGTTTTCGTTTGCCTTACTCTTTTTTTTTTTTTTTTTTTTACCTTGAGTCATCATATTCTAAAAGAACTTGAGTACAATTTGCTGTTACTCTACCAAACTCTATCGGTCAGTAGAAGTATTTTTTTTATTAAGTATTGTATAATAACTGTAAATAAATAAAGTTCACTACTTCACGGATTTCACTTATCACTGGTTCTTTTTGGAACGTAACCCCCGCGATAAACGAGGGATTACCGTATTCAAAAAGTGAGGAAAAATAAATGACTATGCAAATTCTAAATTCCAGTCACTTTTTAAAATGTGACAGTTTATATTATATGTCTGCAACGCATTTTCCCACCTCATACATATAAAGAAAAAAAAAATGTCATGACAGCGAGCGCGCCAAGATGTTTTCAGCTGTTACCCCTCCTTGTCTCTCCTATTCTAGAGAGTGAAAGTTCTCCCCATTTTTCTTTTTGTGTAATTTCTGGAGTTCCTCTTGGAGGTTTCTCCCAATCAAGACTAGTGCTAGTCATCTTAGCGTTCGAGTCTGATCGCTTTGCCTCTGTTAGGAAAGCGAGACAGGCCGCCGTTTTTGGCCTCATATCTGCCTAATCCAACTGGAGTGGCCATGAAGCTGAGCACACAGCCACTTAAGCGCTAAGTGGACACGCACTTAAAGCAGAAAGGCTCGCTCAACGTCCCCCAAGTATGTCGGTCATTTGTCCAAGAAGTGCCTGCCAGAGAGTCATTCAATTTGTCATGCAACCGCAACGCGTCCATCTGGGGAAGTGGACTTTGGCCTCAACCGGACCGAGGTTCTTTATTTCCTTGTCTTCGGCCTGACATTTGTCTGAATTTACGGGCCTGAAGGCATGCTGGACGACCATCCACGCTGTTTGCAAAATAAGGTGCGTGTATACGTGTGTGCGTGTGTTGTTCCTCCTCTTGCCAAGATGGACGCAACTGAGGAATGATGGCAGTGACAGATTGCCTGATAAAAACGCTAATAGGTGCAAAGCAGACTTAAGAAGTTGATAAGATGTGTGAACAGAACAAGTAGCCACGCAGGGGTGGAGATAAGATTGGTTACAGGAGCTGAATCACAGGAAACACTCCAGATAAATGCACTACAGATAAAAGTGAGGGGCAGTGGGGGGGGGAATTGGGTGTCCAACAAAATGGAGATCTCTCTTTCCAACTTGTGGATTATTTGCTTCATTTGTCAAACTAGCTTTAGCAACAGCAAATAACTCAGTTCAATAACAGCAAATGCGGTGAGATAGAACTGGGAAAGAATTGTGAGAAAGTCTTTGGAAATGAACAAATGAAAATTCCAGATGGGACAATTTTTCTGTGCGCCACATGCATGATAAGCCAAATGAATAAAATGTACTTTCATGTGCCTGGGAGACACAAATGGCACCAATTTGGTTGACTAGACCACATAAGCATTACGAAATAATAAGGGATTCCTCTGTTTGATACATTTGATTTATCTAATGGGAACCAATACATTTACGTTGTTATTTATAGGCTTATGCAGGCTAAAATGACAATCCCACACAGCTACGTAGTTGTTGGGTACATGCGTGACTTCTGTCATCTAAAAACGACAGTATTGATTTAAGACCTCGTAAACTCAACCAGTGGGGACCAAGCCTGCTTGTCACTAAATCATTGACACTCATTAAACTTCTCTTTGAAGTGATGTCATTTGGACGGGTCACCATCGCTCACCTGTCTGTCGCACTCTCTGCTTTCTCAACTCTTTGACCATGTTGTTTAGCGAGGAGGCTTCTTCATGTCAGGCAAGGCAGACTTATTCTGGAGCATATTTCGGCTTGTTTCTTCCTCCAAACAAGCCATGAAGACAAACCTTCCGCTCTGTCTCTGCCTGCAAGATACATGTGCGCAGCGGAGGAGACATATCTGTGGGTGTGTGCATGTCACACTAATTCTATTTGGCAAGATATTTGCACATTTGGATTGTTTGGTAGCTTCGTGAATTTTTTAAAAACATTTCCCCACCCAAATAATGCGAAATGCAGCTAGTTACACAAAAGCGCGTCCCAGAACCTTTCTCAGTCTGTCTCACTGCGACAGCAAATTTGCTGCTTTTTTTTTTAAGAAAATAAACGATCCATGCAACAGTCTACCAATTTGTTTTAAATAAAAAAATGAATCTTTGTGCCAGATTAGTGTAACATTCTGTCAGATAAATCTCATTGTACTATTTACATAACCTACACCTCTCTCTCTGCTGACCCAAAAAAAAACAAGATTACACCTTTATTCCAACACTTTTATCTTAATTGTCAAAATATATTTATTTTTTTCGTACAATATTAACAATGAAAAGAAGAAAAAGAAGGGAAAAAAAGGAAGAAGTAGATTGCACTTACCTTACACGTGTGGCTGACTGTATGCTAATGCTAAAAGTTTGTTTACTAGCCCCTGCACTTGTAAACAATATTCCTTCCAGTCTACTTATTCTTTGAACGAACGTAAACTTCATCATGTCAAGAATATTTGACATTTTCAAAGCTGTCTGACCCACGGTTGCTGATGTAAGCGAAAAGAGTTCCCGAACCATTTGCTAAACTTTCAGGGATCATTATTATTCGTCACATCAGTGACTCCATGTTGACAAAATGGCCGCGGTTCCGTTTTCCACCATGTAATTGAGTGCACTTTTCTGCTGCGTGCATCCCTCCACCTGTCCCACCGCCCACCCCCCCATCACCCAAGTTCACTTTCTCGTCATGTTATCTCTGTCGTGTGTGCGACCACTCACTGTGCCTTTCCTTTTCTTCCTGTGTTCCTCACAGCATGCGATTGCCATCCCGTGGGTGCCGCCGGCAAAACCTGTAACCAAACCACAGGACAATGTCCCTGTAAAGACGGCGTGACCGGTATCACGTGCAACCGCTGCGCTAAAGGCTACCAGCAGAGCCGCTCGCCCGTTGCCCCCTGCATAAGTACGTGCAAACAGTCTTTATTTACCACATTCATTTGTGTTCTTGGCAGGGGAGCGCTACGGCAGAAAATGCAGATTCGAATGCGAGGTGACTGGGAAACAGGAAATGCACACTTTCGTTCTCGTTCACGTTTCGATGTTGTAAATCTACTCAGGGGGAATTAGTGCCACAACGGAAATAAAAATAGCGAGTGGGGAGAGACAGACGGATATGGGAATGAAGATGTCATATTAGGAAAATCGAATTTAAAGCACACGTTTAAAAAATATATTATTGTTCCTGTTTTATCAAACGTGACAAAAATACATGAAAAAAATCTTGAAGCATTTCCAGCATTATTCTCTCCTTTCTCTGTGACATCTTTTTTTTCTCTGACCATTTAATATATGTTACATACAATTTAATATACTTGTCTGAAATGTTTATAAACAAATCCTTTATTCCTTTAGAATTACAATTGCTTGACCAGAAAGACATTTTCTCAAATACAAATTACTTTAAAATAATCATTATTCTTGTAAAATTACTGATTATTAAAACATATGGATATGACTTGTATGAAAAAAAAAGCATTTATTTTCATGATATCACATCATTTCCATCAATGCCTCCACTTTTATTCTAATATTTGTTTTAACTTCTGGAAAAATGCAATCTTTACTCACTACTAGAACTGATTTCATTTCAAGACTTAAAATTAAAATTTTGAATTTTATTTATCTATTTTTTTAACGCGTTCATGCACCAATAATGATAACCTGTAACTTGAAAACATGGTAAGCTGTCCACCGTAGTAACTGCTGTCCCCGAAAGGGTTAAAATGCCATTTCTTTACCAATCATGTATTGGAAATATTTGTTTTCTCACTTTGGAAAACATCGAGTGTTGACTTAAAAATACATAGAACAAAAATGAAATTTAAAATGTACATTTTGCCTCGGCTTCCAATATTATGAATTTATTTGAATAAAAACCAAAACCAAAAAAAGCTTTCCTTCCTGTGCAACAAAGCCTCTTTTCAGCAGAAATTCAAAATTATCGAGGTTTTTCTAAAAAAGAAAAATGGCTAAATATTGTTTTTGGTGAGACTTTGTCCCTGGAAAAAAAAAAAAAAAAAAACAGCAAAAAAACCCTCCAACACTTTAATGTAAAACTAACTTTGTTCCCTTAAAATAACTTTTCCTCTAAATCAACCTAAAAACAAACAAAAAACATTTTTTCAATCAATTAATCAACTGGAAAATATGTTGGAGAGAAGCCCTCATGTTTAACAGATGAATCACCGCATTCATGTCTGATAAAAATCGAGGCTGTGTTCACCAGCGCACAGCTGCTTTGCTACTCTTTCTCTTCCTCTGCACTTTGATGGCTGCGGTTTCACAGCTTCGTTCTTTTCTCCCCGCTCCTATCTTCTCCAGCATCCAGCTCCTTTGCAGATAAGAGGGCCATGTTTCACGCCTGCTTCCTCCCCCTGTAACGCAAAACATAACCCGCAAGGGCCAATGGAAATTTGAACATTTGGTGACTCAGTATGTCTTAAAAATGACGGGCTCCGTTTTCATAACAGTACAAATCCCGTCAAAGTCTGCACAGCAGTGGATTAGACCCGATGTTTCACAGATCAGCAAAGTGTGGTAGATCCGCAACAGGGAGGGCTGCGCCGCTGAAGGAGTGGTCACAACCACCTCCAGCAACTCCGAACACGGGCGTGCGGTTCAGATTGACTTGACTGCCGCCAAATCATCCAACATTCGCCACCGTCAAATGTGCCCTTGAAATTTGAGTTACTGTGCATAAATTGTCTGCAATTCCTAAATGAGAAACACCATACATAGCAGCAAAAGACAGGTAGGACCAAATTAGCTGTGTATGGCTGTCAAGAACTGATTAGAGTATGTTAAGTTCATATAGAGGGAAAGAGAGAAAATAGACAAAAAGCTTATCCAGGGAGAAAGAGCACTTTTGCAATCTGTTGTGTACTTGTTATTCACACAGCATGAGGGCACTGATCCTTGTGTTTGCCTGTGTGTTTGTGTTTGTGTGTGTGTGTGTGTGTGTGCGCGCGCGCGCGCGCTTGGTGGTGGGGAGCAGAGATTCCAGTCACACCGCCTACGACAGCAGCCAGCAGCACAGAAGAGCCCTCAGGTGAGGCATACTGTAAACTATTGACATGCCACACATTGACTGTAACATACCCTGCAGCCAGAAAATCAACTGCTGCTATGTTTTCTTATGCAGTAGTTGCATTGTTGTATAATTTGTAGAGTGTGTTGCTGCATTATTGTCATGATCAAAAAGAACCTAATCACTTGCACCTTTTTTTTTAAGTCTTGTATTATGCAGAGGGTTATCTGCATGAATGGAACATGTGTCATGTTTCATTTGATCTACATGTCATTTTTGTAGTTTTTCAGTTTTACATGCTTTGCATTGCGCGTGTACCTTGCTGAATAAGATTTTTTAAAGCAATTTTATTTCACTTATATTAATATTACATCTCTGTTTTTAAAGATTTGGGACATCTTTTAATATACTTTTGTTGTTTTAACATAAGCCAACTGAATTTCTCATTATAATTTTATTTTGTATGTTTTTTTTTTTAAAGCATTTGGAAAAAATATTTGATACTTCAAATTACCACATGGTATATATATTATATATACTAAAATAACAGCACACAAGAGTCGCATTCGCCAGCTTGAAACATTATTTTCACTGGGGATATTAATTATTTTAACTATAATTTTTTTTTTTCAAATAACATCGTTTTAGCATTAGACAACTTCAAACATGATTCTTCCTGGAAAAAAAGCAATAATTTATGAAAATTTTATTTTCAACTGTATTTAAAGATTTGTGGACATTTTGAAATTATATGTTTTACAAAACTGTAAACATAGTCGCATCCGCCAACTTAAAACAACTTCATCCACGATGATATCCAAATGTTGTTATTATCCGCGCATTATTCATTGAGGAGAAATGTTCAGAGAACTTTCAAATGTTGGTGTAGTATCATGAAAATTAATGACGCAATGCACAAACGCAAGTGGACAATTCGAAATAATGTCAAATGAAGAATTTGGGTTTGCGATTGTGCAAAACGGGTGATTCATACATTCATACAGTTGCAGGCACACCCAAAGTGTGCTGTTGGTCTGGCAACCTCCTCTTGGGACAGCTTTGATTGACAGCACAGTCACTGCCTCACCCCCCTCCCGCCACCCCCTTCTCCAGCCATGTTTCCCTTCCGCCCTCCTCCACTTCTTTTCTTTCCAGTTTTCTTTTTTTCCATCTTCCATCTCCTTCTGTTTCATGCTTTGTCCTTGACATGGCAAAATGTGTGTGTGTGTGTGTGTGTGTGTGTGTGTGTGTGTGTGTGTGTGTGTGTGCGCGCGTGCGTGTGCATGTGTGTGTTTTGCCGAGAGGGAATATATCTGGAGTTCCTCCATGGCCCCCCCTTTGTCACAACGCCATGCACCTTTGGAATTGTTGCAAGGAATTTTCCGCACCTCAGCGAGGGGCGATGTGGTGTAAAAAACAATGTTTGTGGTTACTTTTTCTTAAATGCCAAGAAAAAAAAACATACAACAAATAAGAGAAAACTTGAAAATAATTTTTCATCAGCTGGCTCTGGTAGAGGGAAGCAGGTCACTTTCATATTCAAGTCTATGTTTTCGACCTTCTGCTTGGAAGAAGGGGGGGAGACAGGAAAAGCCTGCTAGAACAGCTTAAGTTTATTTGGGTTTAATCAGGGGTATCTTAAATGGTAGCAGGTGTGTGCCGACTCGCATTTCGCATGAGTTTGAATGTGATTGGTTCCGAACACAACTGCATCTCCAGTTTGAAGAGGGTGTGCACATTTATGCAAACGCAGTTTGCTTCACTACTTTGCCTCTCAAAATGATTTTGATCAAATGCGGAAATGATTTATTTCCGTCTTATTTAGTTTTTTTTAATATCACAAAAAAAGAGGACAGGGGTATGTACACTATTTATATCCAACGGACAGTCATCTGCTCGTAGCAGCTTCCGCTCTAAGTATGTCATCTTCTACTGTGGATCTGTCGATGAGAAGTGTCATATAAATGAGTGGTGTGCAGGAGACTTTTTTTTTTTAATAACGTTGGATGGCGTAGTTAGAGATCATCTAATGATGGCGAGGAAACGCTGGGCTTTCCTCCTCAAAGTTTCTGTTTGATTTTGAGCAGATGGCAAAGCTGACATGTCATGACGTGCCAGGGCTGCGGGTCCAGCTCATCTATTTATACTTTCACACCCCCGAAAGAGTCGAAAAGTTGACTGCATTAGTGCTTGTTTTTGAGCAGCTCTGATATCATTTGACGCCGAATGATAAATTGAGCAAAATTTTGATTCATACGTGCTGGGTTGCATGTCAGTATACAAGTAAATACTGTGTGTGTGTGTGTGTGTGTGTGTGTGTGTGTGTGTGTGTGTGTGTGTGTGTGTGTATATTCGTTTTTTCTTTTCGAAACATAAGACAAAGTACTTTTAGAAAGTCTTTTTTTGGGCGGGGGGACAGATCAGTCATATCTTTCAAGGCAGTGTACGATGTTCTATATGAGTCCTACACTTGTAATTTAGGCTCTTTTTTCAGTTAAATCAGTCAAAATTCATAATCTTGTGAGTGAAAAAAAATATTCATTTTGACTTTTATGATTTAATCTTACAATATGCATAATTGATAGTCCAGAAAAAAAAAACATTCCTTTGGAAACCTTTTGTTTAATTGCTTTAGATTTTTTTTTTGGGGGGCGGGGGGGGTCAATGCAGTCTCCTTTAAAAGTTATCACTGTCGAAACTGATTTGAGAAAATGTAGTTGGCATGTATTGACGGTTCGAGAGGGTGAAAAATGTGAAATAAAAAAAAAAAATACAGAGAGAATAATATTATGTGGTCGTAATCCAAGCAGCTATTTTCTGGATTTTCCAAGGCTTTGCAATGAGCAACGAAGGGGTTAAGACATAAGCAGTTGCTGTGACTAAGATGGTGAACTTTGAAATCTTGTTAAATCCAAGGTAAAGACAAAAAAAAAAAGTCAATCCTACAAACTGGGGGCGTTGATAGTGAAATCAATGACAGAATTTCAAATGATATTTTTCCACATGCAAGTGCACGTTGGAGCCAAGCGTAGTTTGGTGTGACAGTTATTTGGCAGGTGCCTGCGTGCGCCTCAGCTGGAGATGGAGAAGGTAAAGGCGCGTGCGTATTTAGTTGAGCCAACGGGAGGCCCAAACGGAATGGATATTAATTTGTCCCCCCGCCGCACCCCTCCTCCCAACCCCACCGTCGACCACACGAAGAGAGCTGGAATGCATGGAGAATAAGCTCCGACGGCGCGGCCCAGACAAAACACACAACTCCAGGCTCGCTGGAGGTCGCCACTCCCACAGGTCGTGACAGAGACGTCTGCGCGCCAACCCGAATGTGCAGTCGATTAAATGCCGCTGCCCTGAGCACAATGTGAAAGTCAATGAGAAGGCGGAGTAGGGGATTCGAGAAGGAATAGACGCAAGGCTCGAAATAACTTTTTTTTTTCCTTTGAGGAATAGCTTTGCAAATGAATGACTTCGTTTGAGAAGTATTTTTTCCCCCCACCAGTTCATCCAGGAAGCAATGATTTTATTAAACAATAAAAATACAATACATTGGGGGAGATGAATGTAGGGCTGCAGGGAATGAATATTTGAGTAGCCTACTCAAAAAGTATTTGGATAATGTATATTTTTGCTTGGGGGGGGGTGCGTTTTTCTATTCATGATGGGGTAGGTTTAAAAAAAAATCGCAGAATCCATGAATTTGTGTAAACTGAACCACAAATATTCAGGGTACCACTGTCGTCATCTGTACCTGTGGGTAAAAAACAAAAAACAAAAAACAAAACAAAAAAACAAAAAAGGACGTTTCGCTTCTCTCACAGAAGCTTCGTCACAGATGACGACTGACAGAACCCTTTCTACGATGGAACTTTCCTGTACGACTGAGAGCCTCCACAAGTAAACTGAACCACAAATATTCAGGGTACCACTGTACCTTTGTGCATATTATTCAGCATAATATTGTGAAATTAAAATTGCAATACTGTAACTATAATTATCATGATGATGATGAAGAATGAGAAGGCCCAAATGAGGAGAAGCATGACAGAAAATGGATAGATCGGAACCCTCAGTTTGAAATCACGCTCAATTCTTGCACGTACAGGTCTGCAAATCTCAGTTCAACAAGACTATTGGACGTAAGGTTCATTCAAACAAGATCCACTTTCTTTCCTTCTCGCTAAACTCCCTCCCGTGTTGTCCGGATGTCGTCCAAATGCAGTGGCAACAGTGCAAAGCAGAGAAGCTCGAAGCCGGGCAGCACACTGGGCTCCCTTAATCTAATGACGCGCTTTATTTGCCACACTTTGTTTTCCCCACCAGTGTGCTCGGGGGGAGAAAGGCCTCCTCCTGGGCTCTCGGTCACACCACCTTCCATTCACACCGCCGAGTCAACTTAACATGCATCTCCTTACTCTAATGCACATGAGATAAGTACTCGGTTGCTGTTTGCGAAAGCAGCAGGAAGAAACAAACGACGGCTCTGCGGCTCCCCCTAAAGGTGTAATGCGAATAATATTGATGAACGATGCGACAAACGGCTAAAAAGTTATGTGTTAAGTGAAGCTGTATCACACACCGCGAACTCAAACACAATCCCAACTGCATCAAAGGTAGCGCAACTTGAGAATTTTCCTGGCTCGTTCGCCAATATCACTCGAGTAGGAAAAACAATGATGCAGTTCTCACAACCAAGTGTGCCATCCCATTGACAACGAAATTGTTGTTTTAAGGCCCATTTGCTACATTTGGATTCTTTAACTGGCAGTGGATATCGCTGGGCTTTCCTACATATAAAATTTGGAGGCGACCATCTGCGCCGAATGAAAACTTTTCTGAGTCGGTTTTAACTTCAACAAATGATGTGGAGCAGTTTCAGTATTTTAGATTTTTGATAACGTATTAACACTTCATTGTGAGACAAAGCCAGTCGTCTTCCGCGGACAATACCTGCACAAGGACCGTATACGAGCTAGCCTAAGGACAAATAGGCCGACACTTCGAAAGCAGTCATCAGCTTGTATTTGAACTGTCGCCTTGCAGTTTTTATTCAATTGTTTCTCGTTAACTTCAAAGTTGTGTCCTTGAGTAATTTTCCCTTTACACGAACCAGGAAGTAGCTAACTGCTAACTAACAAAGCAGATGGATAAACAAATACGCACAACGCCAAAAATTGTAATTGCTTTTTGATTTGCTATCTCACAATGGACACGTTCTCTAAAAACACAAATATTACGATTATCTTATGTTACACTTTGCGAGCCAGAAAGTAGTCGTCACTCAAATGTCACTTCACAATGTATTCATTTTAATTTGTGTAATTGTGATTGCGCGTATTCTCATTCATACAAGGTCATTTCATTCTTACGGCATTGAATTCAACGCAACTGGACTGTTCGGTTTGGCCTCTCATCAGAATTGGCCTTATTAGTTAGTTCACGCCACAAGATTTGGTTCTTTCGTCATTCACCATGAACCAGGAAGTGGCTAGCCAACACATGAAGAACGCACCAACACATTGTTTTGAAGCCTACAATAGTGTTAGCGGTTTTTAACAATGCACATGACCCATTTGAGTATGTTGCACAGCAGTGTTACGGAGGCCCAGATCTCCGTTTAGGTGCTCGCCAGGAAGCAAACAAAGCAGTGTAGTAACGACATCACCACAACTGAGCTCCGGACTGCTCCCGCTTCCCCTTGTCTGTAATGTGCACACAAAGGCAACACTTGTCCTCCCGGTAGGGGACTGCCTGCTCCCAAACGGGGGTCTTGGGGATCCTCACAGCCAGTGTGATGCAGCCGGGGTACATTAATAGGGTAGGAAAGGCTATCAAAGGGTAGTATCGTGATGCTTTTCAAAGGGGGGGTTATGAGAAAACAAAGCTTACTTGCAACAGCTCCAGCTTCGAAACATTTAAATGGTAATCTGGGGCCAGCTCAGATAGACTGTTGCATTTGTCACTATTCTTGGTTACTAGTGAAGATACCGGACTTGATCGATTCTTGTCACAAACTTCACTCTTCTCCTTCTTTGTGACCCCCCGCCCCCACCTTATTCCTCTTGTTGTTTTGTGTAGGTGAGTGCAGGGGGGCAAGGGGGGGGGGCATTTTTTTCCTCTTCTGGTGTTACCTTGGCAACCTCATTGAAAAAGAGCATAAAAGGGGAGTGAAGGCATGGAGCAAAGATCTGCTGGCCCAACAATGAAGTTTGTTCATATTCAAGCTTCGGGCACTGCATCCATCATTTGCAGCACTCTCTTCCACCAAAAAAAGGCCGTGCCTTTTCCTTGTGCTGCACTCGCCGCAAACAGAGTCCGAACTCTGGATGCGATTTTCAGGAGCAGAGCAAAATACATCTGAAGATTTGCTTTCAGGCCGTGTTGTTCTTGGAAGAGAGTGGAAGTGGATGACAGATTAGCAACCTAGCATGGGGCAATGGAGGCGCACTCTGGCTTGCTAAGAAGTGGAGGGCAGAGGTGGTGTTCTTTATTTCGCTTATAAAGCCGGTATATTCAAACGGTGGAACGTTGTTCAGATCCGGACCAAGTGGCCTTTTGGATTGTTAGCATTTGATAGCAAGAACCTCAAAAGTTCTAGCAATCGATATGTGTTATATGTGGTCGCCCAGCCATAACCGACATCACAGCAAGCACACGTTTGATGTTTTGTCTCATCATCCGTGTTTTCAAGGCTTTTATCCTTGTTTTAGAATCGTTTGGGTGATGGCTGTGTCCGCATGAGGTATTGATTTGTTCAGAGTGGACACACTCGCCCGAAGAACAGTGTCTTCTGCACCTAACTCTTCTTCACGGATGGCTAATTTTTCCTTCCTGACCTCCCTTTGTGTGGCAATGACCCCTTTCATACCACCCCCCAGCCTCCACACCCTGGAATAGCGGCTCGCCCGCCCCCAATGCTCTTTCTCCGAATGTCCACGCTGCAATGAATGCCAACGTTTGACACGGCCCTTCGGTGGGGCCTTGATCCCAGGGCGACGTTTTTTCGGGGGGTCGAGATGACAAGCGAGGTGAGATTTAGAGGGAGGCGATGGAGGGGGCGGCGGGGGTGGAGGTCCAAGGGGCGTCGGGAGGGTGGCTGAATGATTCCCAGGCTTTGACAGGGAATAAGTGGCTATTGGCTTGTAATTTGTAACGCCGCAAACCTGCTGATGGTACCATTAGTTCTCGACAGGGGCCCACACAAGACAGCTTGGGGAGGGTGGGGGTGGAAAATTCTTTCCACGCCACCTATTGCACATCCTCATGGATATGTTGAGAAAATAATGCAAGTAAAGTCAATACATGTTTCACGACCTTTTTGGTGGTATCGATGATCAGGTTAGAGAGGTTAGAAACATACTCTAATGTAGAAAAATGTATGTGTTTGTTGGATTGGTATTTCATTGTATGGCATGGGGAGTAACTATCCAGCCGGATGTATTCTTGCCTAATTGGGGTATTTTTTCTCACGGCTTAAATAATGCTAAATAATAAATGATTTAGACACGAGCATATTGAGGGTTTGATTGTAATTTACAAAAGCAAATTAAAAAAGGGCATTCAGGAGTTCATAGGTGCTGTTGATCTGGAAAATAATGTTACTCAAAAGGCTTATAGTCAGTTAACTAAGTTAGCTTGCGGTAATTCGAATGCCAGGATCTGATAATCAATTTAAAACCTTTAAAAAAATACATATATGTTTTATTGATTTATTCTTGCAGAATTATAAAACAAAAATGAGCGAGTCAAAATTCCAGTATGTGTTCATTTCCTTGGGACTCCTTAAGCTGTTTGTGGCAGTAATCAACATTTTCCCTAACTGCATTTTGGTCTTGTTATGCTTGCAGACTGTGACTCTTACTGCAAAGCGTCAAAAGGCAAACTGAAAATCAACATGAAGAAGTATTGCAAGAAGGATTACGGTGAGTCAACGGTGAACGGAGATTAACATTCATTTAAAGGGAGCGGGGGGAAGGTGGGGAAAAAGTTCCAGATTAAAGCAGCACTGTAGAGATGGTGGAAAAAAATATCTATTTGCATTGTATGGACGACAAACCAATTTCAGCTCAATTTTCCCTTTTTCCATGTAAACCCGGTCAGTTTGAGATGCAAACTCAAACCTTTGACATTCAGCTCCACCTCCAGAGCCCTCCTGATCGCTCCCTGTGCACATGCTTGATCCCCTGTCTGCAGTAAATCCTAAAGACCAGAGACATTTTCCATCCCATCCATCTCAGCTCCACATGTTGCAGTTCACAGGGGAGAATCTTCACTGATGGCATACCGAAGCGTGTAAAGATTCAACGTACTACATCTGCCGCGACAAAGGCGGCAACACGAGAGCTCCTCATTAAGGAATCTGTGCCCCCCCCCACCCCCACCCTTCCGC